AACTGATACAAGTCTAATTACAAATTTATCTGCTAAAGATCTTAGTACCGAAAAGCAAATTAGTAATTTTCCTATTCCAATCCCGAATCCTAACGTTTCAATCATGGCTACAGCCGCGCAGAAAAAATCGTTTATTAGTACTTGCGCATCGATAATGCGAGAAAACTACAGTGGAGACCCGTTATCACTTGCTTCGTTCTTAGATAAAATCGATTTAATAGAAGAATTATCAGATGATTCCTTAACTCCTACATTCATTGCATTTTTAAAATCAAAACTCGAAGGAAAAGCTCGCGAATCTTTACCAACTCAAATAAATTCAATCAGTCAAATTAAAGATGCGTTGCGTAGTAAAATAAAACCAGACAACTTGAAAGTTGTCGCTGGTAAAATCGCATCCTTGAGAGTAAATAACAACAATTTTGCGGAATTTTCAAAACAGGTAGAAGAGCTTTCGGATTCGCTAGAACGTTCTTTAGTTATTGAGGGTATGACACAGTCAAAGGCTGATGAGATGGCGGTTGAGCAGACTATTAGCGTGTGCAGGCTCAATAGCCGTTCGGATATGGTAAAATCTATCCTAGCGTCAACCACTTTTAAAGATTCTAAGGACGTTGTAGCGAAGATGATAATAGAACGCGAACAGGAGGTAAAGGAACGGCAAGTTTTATCGTTTCGGTCACGTCCAATAAGATCAAGTAATAATTTTCGAGGGAATCTTAGAAATAACAATAATTTCAGATTTAATAACGGATATAATAACGGCAATTTTAGATTCAATGGTAATTCAAATAGATATAACGGCAATACAAATTTTCGAAACAATAATAACAATAGAGGCAATAATCGGTCTAATAATTACAACAATAGTAATAACAATCGGTCTGCAAACAGAAGAAATACCAATAATCAAAGTTCAAATACTAGAAATACAGCCAGTGCTCGTTCTTTAAACGGCGAAGCCCCTCAGCAGCGAACACCTGGGTAAATACCCAGGTGCTTTGGGAAATACCTGGGTATTTACCTTTAAATACCCAATTTACCATTTGGGTATTTACCCTTGTTTTAAAGAAGTCTTTTAATTAGTTGATTTAACAAAAAAAATGTCACTTGTTTCCGTAACTTAAGTTACAACAGCAAAAAAATTGTAATTTGATATCATGAGCATCTTTGTCGAAATATAATTATTAACTATACTCGATGTTTTAAGGTTGTAGCATCGAGAAAAAAATCAGCTAAATATGCCATCAAAATTATAATTTAAGGATTAAAACTTACTAGGTACTTATGCTTTTGCTTAAATAATCGAAAATGCTTAACTGTAATTCCTTATGATGTATAACATATTTGGCTATCCTTGTAATTTATTTTTGTGTTTTGTTCGATGATATCCGTTAACTTTTGACTAATAAGTTTCAAATGAGTTTTCAGATTACAGTGACATGTTCGATTTTAAATGTGCAGACTTTTTATGTTAAGAATTTACCTTGAACGACGCCGAGTCTAAAGAAGTGTATGCCGATTTGAGTTGCGAGGAAAATCTTAAAAGGATGTTTCAGAACTTGTTGAGGTTTTCCTACTGAGTTTTTAATGTTGTATCTCTGAAATAGACAAGACAGTAGCGT